GTTCAACCTTTTACAGATATTATATACACATATATTACCTATTATAATAGTTATATGCAAACTTAAAATCATATTATTAGTGATTTGGATAGTCAACCATTGTGAGACATGTCTTTTCATTTCCAGTATCATATTTTACCTTATAACATGACAACCTTTTAATATTTTTCTACTAGTTTGTGTTGCATGGTATTTTTAAATATCATTGAACTTTAATTTTTCCTTCATGCATATGAAGGTGTTTTTCATTAAACTAAATAATGCTTATATTTAATGGAAACACTCTCAATGTTTGAATTGAAAAATGCTATTAATATTTCATGTAATTATTTTTAATTGCATTTAATCTCTATCACTGGCTTTTTTGTTTTATTTGCATTATAAATATGCATTTTGCTTTTGTTTTATGATGTTTTGGGGAATAAATATATTAATTGTTCTTTTATATATAAATCTTATTAATTCAATGTATTTTTATCTATTCTTATAGGGGTATTCTACACTTTACAACACTCACTTTTCACATCTTCAATCCTAAAAAATGAGTACTTTCACATCTTCATGAGCAATGAAAATACAGTGCATACTTTTAAGGACTTGTTGATATGCTGCATCCATTCCCCAAACTCAAATACAAATATGAATTTTCAGGTTGGCATCTCTAATACTAGTATTTTATGATAGGTAATATACATTCAAAGTATAATTGATGCACATGTATGTAGAGGCACTACTTTTGCTTTTTCAACTCTTCTTTCCTTTCTGTGTACAATAAACATCATATGACATAAATTTCTATATTTAGGAAGATGCTTAGATGTTTCCTTTATTGAGAATTGGTTGTAATTTCCTTGTTTCAATAAAAAGTACTGAAAAGTCATCATTTTATTATGTATTATCTTACATTCATAGCAATATTTGAAAGATACATTTACTTGGAGCTCAACTGCAACTTAGCCCTCTGTTGGTGGACACTTGTTGCTGTCAATTCCTTTCTAGTTAATCCCAATTCAAGGTGCCCTTGTGTGTTCTCTGTAGAGTTTCCAATACTCTGGTCTTTCAGAAATAGGTCTTTATGTCTGTCTTCATAGGCAAATTTAGATGGGTTGAAACTACCAACCTTTTGTCTAAGTAGTTTACTGATTAAGTCCTTACAATTCCTCGAAGCTCTTCTTTGGATACAGGGTTCTGCCATTTTCATATGTTGTCACAGATGCTTACACAGAGTTATATCATACGTAGTAAATTTAAAATGCCCCCAAATGTTTTAGTAACTTTATCTAAACATTAGAGCTTCTGAGTAGAGATTGTGTTAAGTGTAAATGTAGAAGAATCAACCCATTTAATGCATATGCCAAAAGGAAAATCTATAACACTATTTAATAGAAGACTCCAAAAGTCACTTTCAATAGGAATAGTAAACATAATGATTTCAATGCAAAGAGAAGTAA